CGATGTACCCTTTTTCGATGTACCCTTGTATCGTGGGCGAAATTGACGTGACATTAAAAAATTGTGAGTCGCGAAGCGACGAAGAAAATAAAAAACGTCAAATCGCGCCGAAGGCGCACCAGCCAGATGTTTGAAGCGCCGGAGGCGCGGCAAACGGGCTGGTATTTTTTTTAAAGTCGTTAACTGATACATTGTTTATCATAGTAATAAACATTTTATCCGTTGACACATTTTTGATATCTCTTGAAGGAGCCGAGATAAATGAGCTCAAACTTGACAGTGTATGGCGTCTTCCATTACAGGTTTTACGGTATTAATCGTAAGCTATCGCTAGAAAAATTAGGCAGCGAAACATCGACAGATTTTTTTAACGAATGAACGAATTTACTGATTTCCGTTACAGTAGTGTTTGACGGTTCATTCTCTACATGTTGCAATGTATCGAAAATGTGTTAACTGACAAAACTCTCCTGATATTATGACAAATGATTTATTAATTGACAACTTTTTTATGTTTTTTGGCAGGCACCTAGAAAGTTGACTCAAATTATAATTTAAGGGCCCCTTCCTATTAAAGGTTTTACGGTACATTTGAATTTTCTCTGATCTTTGCATTTGCCTTTCCATTACTCTGTTTTTTTCCTGATGCGAAATTCTGATTACTTGATGTCTTGAATATGTCAAATTGAAATCCCCTACAATCCTTCGTACTCGTTATTAACATTTTGATTCAATTCCAAAATCTTCGTATCTAATATATTATTCGTACACACTATATATATATACACGAGTACTACCATATCTTCCCAAATCATATCGGATTTCCAATATAATAGAACAAAAAAGACTGGCTTCTGCCATCTTCTCATCAGCAGCCACCCGAATAGAAAACGGGAAGAATGAAACAAGAATGACACAAAAAAAACGTTTCGGCCCATAAATTTTTCTTTGCTCTCTCGTAATGTCATTTTGTTTTTGGGCAGGGGTCCGTTTCTTTTTTCTTCTAAACTTGGTTTATGGCCAATTTCTATAGTTACGAGACTAACGAAAATTTGACATTTCAAATGGAAGGAGTTCACATGAGCCATATAAAAAAGCTTCAGATTTTCTTTTTCTCATAAAATTTCAGGAATCTATGAGGCGAAAAAGAAAGAAGGGGAATCTCAAGTCCTGGTTGTTTTGGGAATGAGAGTAAAGGGAAAACGGAATAGTTGAAAGGCAAAGAAGGAGGGTTTTGTAATGGATGGAGAGCAATTATTCGGCCAATTAGAGATTAGTTTCGTTTTGGCCAATCCAATTCTTTTTTTTTCCATGTTGTTCCAGAAAGAATTTAGAGGGAAACGGAGAATTTGTTAAACACGGAGGTAGGAAAAGCACGGAAGTGTGAGAATGGCTGGATGAACAGTGAAATTGGCAGAGGATTTTGAAAGCTTTTAATTTGATTTTTCTAAATCTTGAGGCAGTTTGAACCATTTGAAATTCACACTTGACCATGGAACTGAAGTTCAACCTCAAGTGTTTTCAGATACCGGAAGCACCCTAATAGAGTGCCACCCAAACCATCCGCTTTGAGCTCAGATACCTTATTTCCTGTGAAAGATATTAAATACTAGTCCTGAAAAAATGTTTATCTTAATATCAAAAATATTTTGTCATCTGACAACTTTTCTATATTTTTTACAGGGACCGTGATAATTTGGCTCGAAGGTATAAGTTAGGGGGCCTTCTATTAAATGTTTAACGGTGACTAAACACTTTCAGAAATAAATGAATATTAGAAGTACTCTTTCCATTCATGCCCGGATGACGTTGTTGTGATATTTTAAACCACCGTCAAAATTCGAAATTCTCAATTTCAGCACTCTCTCGCCAAAAGCTCCAAAAATAGAAACTCCTTCATTATCAAGTAGCAATTACCCAACCAACGTAATCAGTTAATTTACTAGTTAGTCAGAACTTTCTCCCAAGTGAACATATATGATTTGAAAGATTTGAAATCATCACAAGAACATGTGATTTTTCGAAAAATTTTGGTCTTCCAATATGCTGACGTAGATGAAGAGACAATCGGAAATAATAAAAGGAAATGAGGTGGGATGGTCGACAAGATGGGCGTTTTAAACTATGTAAAGAATACGGTGGACTGGGATTTTGAGGGGAACGCTGGTGGCCATGGCCGAAGGTCCTACAACGACAACTACCGTAACCTAAAAATAATTTTAACTTCAAAGATTTTTGTTATCTTGTTCTCCGCGAATTATCAGTTAGTTTATTCATTATCAAACACTTATTTTCTGACTTTTTTGGGGAAAAGACAAAATAAAAATTGACGAAAATCAGTCAAGAGCAAGAAAATACATAAATAAGGAAAATAAAAATAATTTTCGGTTACGGTAGTTGTCGTTGTGGGTCCTTACACCACTGTCACCGGCGCTTCTCTTACACAGCTACGATGTTTTGTACCAGAATAATATCACAGTGACAAAAAAGACGTTTCAGGAAATTTGAGAAGAAAAATAAGAATGATCATTTTGAATCTTTGATTGTAGGATTTCAGTTTATATAGAATATAGCTCAAGTAGACTGATCAGACCATGAGATATTTTATTTTTAAAGTAAATTGGCGGACTCTGCGACACGGAGATTCAGAAAAGTTCGAACTGGTTCGAAAAAAAAGCGACATAGAGGTGAGAACTCTAGGATTGATTTGTTAATCATTGATGCATGCATTCATGATGACAGACTCTCTCCTATCGCTCCCTATTTTTCCAGAAGAACCTACAGATGAAAAGGAAGGTCCCCGCACGAAAGAAAAGGGGAAAAAAAGCTTGAGAGGTACTCGAGACTCCGTGATTCATACCACTGAATTTTTGACGGAATAAGATAGATGTGGAGGGGGGTAATTGGAGGAAGAAGGAGGAGATGGCTCAGTGGGTGTACTCTCGCCACAGATTCAGAAGGCAGATTGGTCAGTGAATAGACGACAGCTTCAACTTACGTAGATAGACAACAAGATGAGATTGTAGTTCAACTATGCGTCATGATTGTATTCAACACCCTCGCGTTTTGATTTCGGACTAACCTATTTTTGAACACTTAAGAATACAGGGGAGAAGAGGACGTCAAAATGTCTCTTATGGAATAAATCTCGTGAGGATTGAAAATTTTCAGAATTGAAATATCCAAAAGAAGGGAAAAAAGAGGAAGAAATGGAGAAATTCATTATTCCAGACTGGGAACCAATCGCAAGAAAGCAGAGACTTCCTGGGAACGATCGAGAATATTTAAGAACAGGAAATAAATCAACAAGAACTTTGACAAAAAAAAGTTCAAATCTGAAATTATGAAATCATCGGGTGCCCAAAAAAGTTTTTTGTGCTCACAGAGCATTGAATCATGCAACATTCCTTCTTGTTTGCATGACGTTTCGATTGAGTGGGGTGGATGAATTCATAACATTCGGGAAGATGGAATGAGGCGGATATAACAGGTGTGAAAACTTACAACAGACAGGTGCAAATATGAATATGAGTTGGAAAATGTCTAGGACGGGAGGAGATGAATAGGACATTGTGTCAGATGAAGAACACTTAATGAGTGGGTGTCTAGATAGAAGTTCAATATAAAAAAGACGTTGACATTATTTTTGTTCGAAAAATCATTTTTTAGATACCGTATGTCCTTATAGTTATCAGAATTAATTTCAGAATTTGTAAATTTCTGGATTTCGAGATTTCAGAATTTCTGAGTTCAAGGACTTTAGAATTTTAGAATTTCAGAAATCTGGAATTTCAGAGTTCCAGACTTTTTGAGTTTTTATGCAATTGAAATTTCGGAATTTTAGAATTACAGAATTTCCAAATTTCCAAATTTCGCAATTTTAGAATTGCAGAGTAGCAGAATCTTAGAATTTCAGGGTTTTAGAATTTCAGAACTCCAGAATCCTAGAAACTCTAGAATTTCAGGTTTTCAGAATTTCGGAATTTTAGGTTTTCAGAATTTCTGGATTTCAGAATTTCGAAATAGGCGAATATAAGAATATCAGAATTTCGAGAATTCAGAATTTCAGAATTTCAAAAAAACTGATTGAGTTCAGAACTTCTGAAAAGTTGAAGACGGAACGAAATTCAAACAATGAGTAAGTTTTTATACAAACTGTACAATGAAAGTTGAGGAACTGATTTGATTACTGTAGTTCATTTTGTATTCCTCCTATTAGATAATGAAATATTCAAAGTATTCATCAAAGTTCAGATTTTATGTCATGAAAGTTTTCATTCAAAATTTCCTCTGGTTCAAATCACAAATTCAGAAAACACAACATCACAAAACAAAAACAAACAGTTTGCAAAGAGTGCGTGTTCCAATATTCTATTCTGGTCTTGTAAACAACCAGCTGAAGTTATAAATCCCCTGATAAATGATAGAACTTGTTCGATTCCCTTGCGTGCTGCACGCGAATCAGAAAAACAGGTGATTTCATTGTTTTCTTTTTTCAGAACATTATTTTTCACAAAGGAAACAAAGTTTCAAAGTTCTTCTGGAACTTTTCGAACTCTTTGAACACTTTTCAGAACGGATTAAATCAAAAAAGCTCAAAGAGGGAGAGGATTATTTGTTGAGCTGTCACATCATATTAAGAAGATCATCTCATCCTGCAGAATCAATGATGTGGTTCCAAAAAAAGCTGCAAATTCCATGCACAAAAAACGGGCGGTCTTCTTCCCTTCTCCAGACACACATACATACACAAAAAAACGTGGGTTAGTTTTCGTTTCTCCTATTTCTAAGTCTCCGTATTCTTAATGTTCTCAAACATTCCGCTCCGCTTCTGACGACGCGGGGGCCTTCGACGTCGACGCCGCCAACACATGCTCTGAAAGGAAGAAAAAAGGAAAAAAAGTGAGAAGGATGGAGGGAGAGAAAAGATAGATGGATGGATGGATGGCCACTTTCTTTTTTCCCTTCTTTTCCATTTTTTGTATGTGTGTGCTTTTGCTCACTTCTACCGAACCTCTATTTTGGAATGCATTGCATAACGGACACAGCAAAAAACTTCCCACCGACAACAAAACAATTACCATCAGCAAAAAATCATACGATTCCAGAAGGGTTGCGTGACACTTCTACTCTTCGAAAATGAAAATCACCTGAAATGCCTCCGGTGATGTTACGGATTTTGGGTCAGACCAACGGAAGAGCAAGATTGGGAGAAATGTTCCGATACTGTGAACTAATTTTAATATTTTTCAACTTTTTTTTCTACGAGAACTTATAAATGTTGATTTGAACTGACGATAATTGTTTAAATACTGTCATGACTCATGAGACATGACCGGCCCATGCTCCCAAGGGGCATCTNCGTGCCATCCGCTACAGTGATGCCGACAACAAGTTGTGGCGCTTCAATGTCCAGTGGTCGTGCTCTGTGCCAACCTACATCAAGAGATCCAACAATTGGCGTCAGGTTCACTGGCTTGCTGAGAAGGTTCCAGCCGAGGAGGGAGCCAAGGAGACTCCAGCCAAGGAATTAGTCGACCTTCTCAAAAACACTTGGCAAAAGGAACAAGAAGCGTGGGATGCCAAATTAGACGGAGAGAAATACGTCTGGACTGAA